GTGTGCGTGCGTGTGCGTGTCTTTGTCTGTTTGTATGTATGTGTTTGTGTGTGTGTGCATATGCGTGCGTGTGTGTGTCTTTGTCTGTTTGTATGTATGTGTTTGTGTGTGTGTGCGTGTGTGTGCATGTGTGTGCGTGTGTATGTGTGTGTGTGTGTGTGTGTGTGTGTGTGTGTGTGTGCGCGTGTGCTTCTGCGTTTTTGTGCCCCTATTGCGCCTGTGCCAAAATGTTTACTTTAATGTATATTGTACTATATTACAGTTATACAAAAGTGTCATTTCCGTCACAAGAAGGTGAAGTGCCTATTGTAGGCTCTATGTGTTTGTGTGAGAACTGTGTTCTTTCTTATGTGCGTGCTCGTCTATTCTGCGCTGCGTGTACCTATGTTTTAACGTGTATGTGTGAACATAGTATAATATAATATTTGAGTTTATGGGTGTCCAACACCGTAGCCAATAATAGAGGTAATACAACAAAGTAAAATTAACTTCCATTTCCAAAAATCGATTGATATCCGGAGATCTCATTCAATAATGTGACGTAGGGTAGGTGGGGTTGTAGCGTGGGTGACTCGTGTGGACAGCATTAGAGAGAGAGAGTGTGTGTGTGAATGGAAAGGCAGAAACAATAAGATGCTTGGTTAGTTCGCCTAAAGGGTGAACATGGCCAGTAGGGTAATCCCTTCCCACACGATAAGCTGAACATTGTTTAACAATGCTACCATCACTCGAGAGGATTGGCTAGACGATCGGGTTCCCATCAATAGAAGCTGAATAAGTAATCAGTGTTCAGTGGTTTTCTTTGGTTCTCTGACATCAAGATATAATATCTGGCATCTAAAAATAGAATAGCCATTAACCTAACCACTCACGATTCAGACATGTCCATAGATGTCATAGAGTTTGACCCTGATAAGATGATTACTTTATGAAAGTCAGACATTTTTGTTTAAAGAAGGGAAATAAGAACTTCTACAAACACCACCTGACGATCACCTTAGGAGAAAAAAAAGTAGGGTTCAGTAAAATTGCTGGTGAAAACTAAACGGTAAGTGGGACATCTATATAAAAATACCTCAACAAAGTACGATGGTCCTCCTACAAGATAAGCGATTGCTGAGGCTAATACGTTTCAAACATTTGGACTGCTGATGTGTCAAGTTCTTTGGTCCTGGTAAGCTCAAGGAATTGGTGATAGATACTATCTGTCTCCGGACACGAATATTATGGAAATAACAGAAAATATGTAGCTGTTTCCTTTCTGATAGAAAACATTTTAACTGTACGTATCCAGGCTAAGATGCTGATGTTTGTATTTCAGATCCATACGTGAAGATCTATCTACTCTACAACGGACAAAGGATTGCTAAGAAGAAAACTCACGTCAAGAAGAGGACCCTCAACCCAGTTTTCAATGAATCGTTCCTATTTGACGTGCCATACAATGAGGGATTACAGGTAAATAAACCACAGCATGTTCTGCTTTTGCGAGAGTGTGTTTGTGTGCGTGCGTGCGTGCGTGCTTGCGCGCGCGCGTGTGTGTGTATTATATGTATACAGTTTATGTAGTTGAATCTGTTTGTCTATTTCTACACTTGTTTGTGAGTTTGAGTATTGTTAATTTAATAAAAGAAACTTTTGGGCGCCTTGGGAGAGGAAAAGCTAAGGCTAAAGGGTGAAAAGATGAGTAAGACGACGAGGATGCTGTGTTGCTCAACCGGTGCTACTGTTGCTGATCCTGCTTTTGCTGCAGCTGCTGATGTGGTTGCTGCAACTTCTCCTTCTGCTGCTGCTGGTGGCGGTGGTCATGGTGAGGGTTATGATGATGATGATGATGATGATGATGATGATGATGATGATGATGATGATGATGATGATGATGATGATGATGATGATGATGATGATAATAAAAAGAATTTCTTATTCGCCATCGAATACCATTCAAATCTCTCTTGAAGAACCCTATGGTTGCTTTAGCTTTGTTCTTCTCTTTTTGGGTCATGTTCCTAAAGAAGAAATACATGTAGATGGTAAAGAGCGGAACGATTTTGTAAACTTACAAATTAAACCATTATACCCATGTCTTCTTAATATTATTTTTAAAAAATACATGTTCTTTTCAACAACGCCAATAATGACAACGAAGATGATGATTCACTATCAACTGTTAATAAGACAATGCCAAAACTTTGAAGTACTTGTCTTACTCCTGGGACATTTTCCCTTAAGTTATTATTCTGTTGGATTTTGTTTTCTTTTCTTTAGATTTACGTATTTCTCTGGATAGACTGAATTCCAAATAACAACAGTTGTTACAAAACTTCACGTAGCAGTCTTGATTCAGATTTTGCAGCAAGACCTTTAGTAATAGAAATCAATGTCAGCTAAACCATGCCCGCTTTGAAATACGTTATTGAAAAGTATAACCTATCGTCCAAATTTTCTTCACGAATATATTGGAGCATGTGCAACAAACTCCTCAAGCGTTTGACTTACTACCCGGTGGTCCTCAATTCGATTTACTTTCAAATTTGAAGATTTGTTAACATTGTTTCCTTTTTGTGATTCAAGCTTAGTTGTCACCGAAAAAAGTAATTTGTCAAAAACGGTTTCATAATATTTAGACTGAGAGTTGAGGTTGAGGAACATTGGAATGGGGTCACCATCTACAATTAAATAGTAACTTTTCAAATTTAAAACAAAAGGCGTTAAACTGATTGGAATCAGCATTTTAGACCAATTCCCATAGTTTTTTATTTGATCCCCCCCCCCCCCCCCCCCACTGGAATCGTGTTTGCCTTGTGTTGGATGGGATACTCGACTACTTCCCTAGACACTTATTATTCCCCTTGTCGTTCTCAGAACATCTCCCTGGAGCTGCTTGTGCTGGACTGGGATCGAATGACGAAGAATGAGGTCGTGGGTCGTCTGGAGATCGGCTCCAAATGTGAGGGTCAAGAAGCCAGCCACTGGAGCGAGGTCATCAACTGCCCCCGTAAACAGATTGCCGAGTGGCATAAACTGCAGGACTAAATGCCTGGTCCCGTCAAGTCAAGTCTCCGTGGCACCACAAATCACAAACAATGGCACAGGCTGGTCAAAGAAAGGTCTCAAAACACTCTCGGTTAAGGTTAGAGAATCGACAGCTATGTCTAAACTCAAACAGAATTGAGCGAAGAAGGGTGATAAAGGGCTAATGCATTAATTTTAATTCTGCTTCTCATGCGCTTTTCCTATACATCAACGCTATTTCCAAGCTCACCGTTTTGCACAATGCTTCAGGGAGCTTTACTTTGTTTCTTTCAAATCAACAGAAGCAGCTTGCAATAGTTCATCAATGAATAATTAGAAAACAAACGTTGTATCAACCGCAGCACCAGCCTGCACTAACAACAAATGAACATACAAATGTATATTTACAGTAGTACAACAACGCCAAGAACAAGAATATTATAAAAACAACCCCAATAAACAAGCCCAACTCTGCATAATCATTTGAATTTATGTCCCTGTTGCTTCCAGCTCCTTTCAACCTCGCTGTAAGGAGTTGAAAGAATTTTATCATTTAATCTGATGATTGTTTATCTCGTGAGCAAGGTATACACATGCTCAATGCATTTTATAAGTTTATGGTTCATTGTGAACTGTTTCTCTGGCTTAAGGGTGACAACATCGTGGTAATACAAACTCAGAAAACATTTAATATTTACTTCCTGTTTCCGACTTCTGTGGAAGAGTTTAAGAAAGAATAAAGTATAGATTTTTAAAAAAAATCAACAATGAAGTAATTTAGTTTACAAAACGTATGTCGTATATATTTCAATCGTAATGAAAGTCACCACTGACTCTTCCAGTACAAAGCTTACTTAAAATGTATGTCAGCACTGGTAATCCCTTCAGCTATCCATATGACAGACCTGTATCTCAATTACTGGTGACTTGACTACCCGTGAAAATATCTTTAGGTAAAGTGTATCTGAAATATGAAAACATTTTTTGAGTAAATATCCCTGCACTTATAATTACCTTATTGTGGAAAAATGTAAGCAAGTTTTTCAAAGAATAATCAACAAAGGAATTTGTTTTAAAGAATGAAAAGTCCTTTATGGATGTGAACGTTTCAGACCCGTGTATTGTATGGTGTAATGTTCTCATTCTATAGTGTTTCGTGCAGTACACGCGTTAGTGATCAATGTTGTAGTACGCCATCTGTTCATTCATTGATCCGAAAGTACCACACATCAATATTTTATATTCATCTTTCTTTCGCAGAAGGGTCATATTTTTTTTCGAGCTCATGTTCAGATAAGTACTGAAACTTCTTCAGGTCAAGTTCCCCCCCCCCCCTTTTGTTGTGGACTCAATCATACTTCAGTACAAAGTCAGCAGTAGGCCTTTGTTCACCTTTTGATATATTGGTGGGACGTGTATTTCAATTTTCGACATTGTGAAACATTATGTTAATATGAAGCTTACCTAACAAAGACAATTTTTCATGTAAGTGGGTACCTGAAGCTAGGGTGTTTTTTTCTCAAGAAAAGTTTCAAAACGTTCTTTTGCTACGCTTCATATTTTCCTATACCGGAGGTCGCAATAATATCGTCAACTCATTTTTTTTCATTTGTTGTTTGAGCAATCAACAAAATATCATCTTTTTTTCTTCTGTCATTTCACTATCATAATATCATGTCTCATCAAACGGCTGTGCTTTGTATATATATAATTTATGTATTCCCCCATTACTTCATATATAATAATAATAATAATAATAATAAGCTTGATATGTATGTACAATATTATTGTTGAAACTTGTAGTCAGTTTTTTGAGGTGGTCTTTTTCTTGTCTGAAACAAGCCAGAATCCACTGGGTGTTGACCAGTAAGTAAGGTCTTAGGTATTTCAGAACACCTGTACTGGGTAGATTAACCCCTTCCTGCCCCCTCCCCTATCTCCTTTCTTCCTCCCTTTTTTAAAGAAAAAGAAGTATCCCCTTTAAGCTCAATTGCACCAGAACTTATTTTTAAAGAATGGCAAATTAAGAGCCGTTCTTAACATCCTCCTACCTTTCGAATCGAACTTCCCCTGTGGTACAAGGGAAATTATTGCACCCCCCCCCCCCAGCCCCCAAACCCAGGCAACAACCGCTTAATATTCAATTGAATGTAGAAGAATGATTTACTGCAGATTTGCTTTAAGCTGACAAAGCACTCAAGCTATGAGAAAAACCTCTTGGGAGAAATGTCAAGCTAACATTAAGACCCGCCCTCCTAAAAAGGATTGGCCCTGGAAAGAGAGGGTAGGTGTGCACTAACACGGTGTGTTTCAGACACCGCAGGACTACTCTGAATCTGAAAACCGACTCCTCCCTTTAAAAAAACCCCTCCCCTCTTCCTGAAACACGGCAGTCTCATGTCCACCAAATCATACTCATACAAAATTTTCCTCAAGCCATCCCCAGCTAATCGTTTCTGGTACTAAATTCTGTGTCGCATTTTTTGTTCAACATAGTATACCCTTAGAAAACATAAAAGCGAGATGTTTGGCAACACTTTTTTTTAAGGAACATACAGCAGAGAACTCTCGTTTTTCTCATAACGATCATAACGTTTATGTGTACGATAATACCGTGTCTATAGACGCCTGATCCCATCATATTATATATTTTGTTGGCCACACACGAACTCGAAACTCCTTCCTTTGAACTTTGCGAGACCTCATGACTCATAATATTGACTCACCATTCCACCGACACTCAGTTTCAATGTTTCATGTACATTTATTATGTATGGTTTGTCATAAACTATGTTAATTAGTGTCAAGATAATCAACATGGGAAAAGTCTCTGGAGGTTTTTGTACCCTGCTTCAAATTCACTTTGGCTGCATATCTTTCACAGCTAGCCTTCCTACAATGATAACCTTTCCACAGCTGCTCCACATAACATGCAGTGTTGATATGGCTCATATTTTCATTCAGCTTTTAGTTGGATTTAGTGCTGGATCACAAAGCCTGTGTTGTCTAATTGGAAATGGTTTTTGGAAGAAGAAAAAAAGCCTAAACTGTAAATTGTTGCTAACAGAAAAGACAAAATTCACGAATTTTGCATTCTTTAAGTAATAACGTATTTGAACGAAAAGATAACATACTTTGCCAAATACATCGTTAGATAAGGTCCATTATAATGGTAATATTGGCAATAAAGTTACAAAGCCTGTTGCCAAATCAATTTTAGAATACAATATTACGTGAGGATTCTGTGGAGACTTTTCTCATAACCAATGATGTTGTCTTGTATTTGTGTACTGTTAGTTCCGTGATTGTGTCTGTTCGATCAATGGAAACGATACTACGACAAAAAATAGGGAACGTTTCAGATAGCCACACTGATACCCTATGAGTGTGGTGAAGGTTTGGATGCATTGAAGTATTTTGAACAACTAAAGAAACTAGAAAGGTAAAATCTACACAATATGCAGGAGATTCATCAGACTGGATTGTAGATTTAAAACTGGGGAAGTAATATTATTGCGTCACGAAATAAACAGAGAATAAATAGAACCTCTAAATGATAAATTAAACTGTTTTTAGTTTTGGGCATTGTTAGGCTTCAACAAAGTTCTAAATTCTATCTTTGTTCTAATTTCTGCTTAGGCAATACCAAGGCAGTCTGAAGAGTGAAAGGTGTACGTCTAAATGTCTGCTGTCAATTTCGACATGAATGAAAGATTGAAAATTGTATGATGGCATTGAAAGAAAGAAAACAGGGAGCTTTATTAACAAATTCACACCACTTAGATCAATTTAAAGCCTTAGAAAATAGCAGGCCAGAACCCCCCCCCCCCCCAGAAAGCTAAGTTCATATAATAGGCAATACGTTGTTGTTTTTTCTCATTTAGACGCCCTACATTAAAGAAAATAACACCGTTTTACGTATGTAGCCTACATTACACTTGACAACCACTAACGATGCAAGCTGGAAAACGTTAAGATTTTTATGTAGACAAGATTTAGAAATTCACAGTTTATAGATTTGCCCAGCATTTCTTGTGAAATCCTTGAAGAGATTAATAAAGGAAGGGTTATCAGATACCAATGTGTTCTTGTGCGTGTTCTTAAACTTGTTTGCTTTATGTCTCTTGTAGCGTCATTTTCAGATTAGACAGTCTACCCCTGTCTACAGTACGTCAAAAACTTGATCTGCCAGGATGAAGATTGAGTTTAGGACTCCAGAAGTGACTTTTATTACTTTGTTCGTTCTTCCAGAATATTCTTCCCTACTTCTGTTTCTGCCTTGTGTTCTGACAGGCCCGTCTCCTAAATGATCTAAGTTTCACGTCAAAAACACACTTATTCTAAAAACGTCCAGTGTATGTTGTGAGTTGCAAAAACAAGTTGTTGAAGAATAGAAGAAGGGCTGTCAAGGCCAACTACCTTTGTAAAGCTTAAAGTTAATTCTTCCTAAGACAAGAGGCACTTAAGTGAGCCCGGTAGAAATGAATTATAAGTACCTTTTGAGAAATTATATGATGGCAAAATATGACTTACTGAAAGTGAAAGCAAGCATTTCAGGCTCTAGAAGAAAAGCAACCCACACATACACATCAAATTAGGCCTTTGTGTAAGACATTATTGACAATAAGAACAAGCTGATCTACCTACATGGTACCTTGTACATACCATGTAGTTGGATGATAAGAGAAAAATCAACAACGATCCACAATCAAACTAGGTCACAGATGGTGTCGCTTACGAACAGAACCTAAATTAATTTGGTATTACATTTACGCTTGCACCAGCTCGTTGGCAGTACATGTATGTAGGAATCAGACACAGGAACATAACACCTTGTTCGTGCAATTAAACTGACTTTATTTTGTGGACATACTAGGCCTTTGATTAGTTATCGATCCCAAACCGCAGAGTTTCTAGAAATGATAGAGAGCTGTACTCACAGCGGGTGACAGGCTGAACCTTATGGTGCAAGTTATACAATGTAGCAGTAGGCCTGTAGTGTACGAAAACCCTGAGGATTTTACATGCACCAACCTGCTTGAAACACGGAGTTAGCTATTAACAGGGCAGTCCAAACGATGGAGAATTATGATTTTAAAAATATATGAGTGCTAAGGACGAAAATCTTGGCTGAGTGGAGCTTGACTGAATAGTAATAATACAGATGAAGACCTAGTTTCTGATAGTAAAAGATGGTTCAAACCCTAATAGAGTGTCTATGATTGTACGTTTTACGGTCCTATCGACCCTGTTTGGATAATTTTCGAGGCAGTCTGCTTCGACCCAACCTGTCAGAGCCAGTCAGGGCTGAGTAGCATGCAACATATTGGGCAGACAGACGAGGACCGCAAATACTCGAAAGAACATTTCCCCACGCGGGAATCAAACACACGTCCTCTGTCATGTAACAGCATGAACAGCCTTACCAAATCAGAACAGATGAAGGTAGATGGAGTCTTAACTTAAAAAAAACAACCTAGGCTGAGGTCCACGAATGGCATTGTCAACATCATGACATAAAGTTGATAAAGACTAAAAGAAGGATTTTTTTCAAATTCAACAATGGCATAGTTTCCTGGTCTCACTGTTTTAATTCGTCGCGAAACAAAGTCTTCTCCTTTGGTCTTTGCGTCCTCGAACGCTCTCGACACGCTATTAAAGCCTTTCTTAAAAGACATTGTCAACCGCCATGTTACCCTTATAAAGATGTTAATTCAGTAAATAAATGCAATCTGTAAATCTCTCCGCTGACTTCATTTTCTTCCCTTGTTTCTCTTCTCCCCCCCCCCCCCAAAAAAAAAAGGAAAAAAATCACCACATCTCCTACATTATTCTCGCCCACCTTCTCGAGAGAATACATGTTGGTGAGTGAGAAAGGGGAGCAAGGAAAGGGAGGGAACGAAATACAATTAATTGCCACTGTCATAATGGGGTTATTTTTTATGAAGTCATTGTAAGCCCCCTTTTCACATTATGGTGTGGACAGAGGTCGTTTTGTGGCAGCGTTTAACCCCCCCCCCCCCCAATCGACACACTGTAGATCATTTAGGAGACGGGCTTCCGACCTTGCCTGTCAAGGCCAGCCTCTGGTTGAGGCGATCAGTTTGGGCAGTTGGTCTGTTTGGTCGCTTTTAGGTACAAGGGGGATATCCCGAAAAATGCTGTTTTGAGAAAATCGAAGATACAGTTTTTGCCCCAGGTTCAGTTTCTTTCAAAGACAAGGAGAATTTTCTTTATGACCAAATATAAACACCCAATGAAACCAAACTTCTCCTATAGGTAGGGCAATACCCACTTTTGGCGTAAGTCAAGATTTCTGGAAACCCCCGAAATCTGGGTTAGCCCGCTTGTCCTTAAAAGCGACCATTTATAATGTGCACTGAAGAAACCGAAACGAACTGAACCAAACCGAGCCGATCCTCCAGTGAGCACCGCCTATTAGAAATCGAACTCGGGTCTCCTGCATGCAACAGCCAAGCGCCAAACCGCTACACCACAGACACAACTTGAAAGATCGTAACTTTGAAGACAGAGTATCTAATGAATGGAATACACAGTTTGGGCTAGAGCAGAACTTGGCGGCCTGGCGAGGGACACTCGCTTCTTTCATACTTTCTTCCTTGTCTGTAGGCCCCTATAATTGTTAATTCTGAACAGGTTCTCGCATTTGTTCCTTCTTTACTTAAACAAACAAAGACTAAGTGCTTGGTCTTTAATAACAGTTTATTTGTGTCTTGTATAAGGCATAAAATCAATCTTGTATAATGTATTTATTTTATATACTCACCCTTAATATGATAGGCCTACATAAAACTAGCGGGCCATGACAGACATTGTATAGCAACAAATAATTCTTTTACAAATTCAGAATAATTTTTTTGGTCTTGCTAAAAAAAAGGACGTTCTAACGAAGTAGTAATATGTACAGCAACAGTATTTTAAAACTTCAACACAAGAAAAATGGTACATGACATAGGTAACACATAGAACGTCTGGGGAGTTTTTTCAGTTTTTTAAATCCTCCATTGTTACGAGCTGTGAAGAAAAATAGTGTACATAATAAAATATCTTCCCTAAGTAGGAAATAATCTCACACTTTCTGTGGGCAAGGCTTTACCATTACAATTACACTGGTGATCAAGCATCATTAAACCACAGAATTCTACACTAAGTGTAGAATTCTGTGCATTAAACGAAAGACAAATTCACGGACTTCCACCATAAGTTGGCACCACAGGAATCAAATGGACACAGAAGCCACCACACCATACAAGATGTTACGCAAAGTAGTCGTTACACAATCCCATAGCCAAATACAATGCAAATTGCTCCGTCAGGATATTATATACATGATGTAACTAATACCCTTTCTTCAATGCTTACCTATACATGTAACACATGTATGTGAACCCAAGCATATACTTATACGTGGTTGAAACCTGCTATGTATAGCAAGTATGGTTTCAGACTCGTTTCAGTATGGTATAATTAGTGAAAGTGGGGATACCAAGTCCCTTGGAAGAAGTGAGACTTAGTCATTCAAAACCTTATTCTAGGAACAAGTTTTTACTATAACTTTTGGTGTAAACAGTGCGGTATAAAAACAGACAAAATAAAACAAAATTTTGACATTCTGTTGTTTTGACAAACAAGACATCAGTATCATACAAGTCACTACGAGAATTTGAACATCATATTAACTAGAACGTGATTAAGACACGAATTGAAAATAATATATGACTCGACACAAGTATTCAAGACAAAATTATCACTTTCATGCATATATATTACAGCAAATATCACTGAAAGAAATAGAAGTCCAGATCACATTTTTCAAGCAAAAAATTTGTAAGCTAAGAAATGAAAGGAAGACAAAAAATAGTCAGATTGAAGAATGAAAAACACCTTCTGGTATTGGGATCCAACTTTCAAGATTGCAACTTTTTTTTTAAAGCTGCATATCTATTTATTATCAACGTCTCTTGGAGACGCTAGAGGACACACAAAAAAAAGTATTCATCTAAAAATTCCTTTGCAAAAAATAAAGCATTGAGCAACACACACACACACACACACACACACACACACACACACACACACACACACACACGCACACACACGAGCACGCGCACACACACACACTATACATACATAACATACATAATTATACATAATTATACATATATATATATATATATATAAATATATATATATATATATATATATATATATATATATATATATATATATATATATATACAATACATATAATTTATATTTATAAATGTATATATATATATATATATATATATATATATTATCCTTTAAAAATGAATGATACAGGCTACAAACACCTCACAAAGTATTAAAGGAAATGACAAAAACCTATTATATATATATAGGGTGTCCTAAAAGCCGAGCACCATCCTGAAAACCCTCTTCACACATGAAATTGACAATTTGAAGGACTCACTAACAATGGAGTGCTAAAAGATCCCAACTAAAATGCTCAAGCATGTAAAAGACAGCTTCCCTGAGAGAGTTGATGCTTGTTCTATTGCTGAGGGAGCTCAATTCAAGCATTTAAGACTAATTCAACTAACAACCAAGCTGTTTTTTAAATAAGAAAACCAGGATGGTGAGCGCTTTCTGGCACACCCCGTACAGCTATAAAAAAGCAATGCTCCACTTTGAGCACAATGTTTTACTTGTCATATTATGTCTAAGGCTAGTATGTTTTTCGGGGTTTTTTAAATCTAGAAATTTAGATAGCTGGACAGGACCATTCTTGAAAAGGCAGTCAACAGTCTTGACAAAAGCTCGATAGGAAGTGCGAGGTATAATTTCTAAAATTATAAAAGAAAAATTAAAATGCTCGAAGACGGTATGGATAGCAAGTTCCTGAATACGGGAGGTAACAATGAGTATATATATGGGAAACATGATGCGTCTTTCAAAAAACCAAAACAAAAACAAACACTGTGTCTTAACCCCCCCCCTCCCCCCCCCACACAAAACAATGCGTCTTCACCCCCCAAAAAACAAACAAACAAACAAACAAAAAGCAATAACAAACAAACAAACAAACAGAATTTACAGGGTAAAAGATCAAGGCCAAGGGCAAGGCTGCTTGGAACCTGAAAAAGAGTCACAGAGAAAGATGAACAGAAAAGTGGTAAGAAGTGGAATAATATCAAGATGCTAGCCCGGGATAGGGAAAGGTGGAAAGTGTTTGTTTGTGGCCTATACCCTGATGCAGGGTGAGAAAGGAAGTGATGATGATGGTGATGATGATGATGATGATGATGATGATGATGATGATGATGATGATGATGATGATGATGATGATGATAACGGACATTGGCATACATTGTGTTTAATTTTCCTACGCTTAGTTCTGATGTGGATATATATTATATGCATGCACATTCAAAGACCAAAATATAAACAGGTGTGACCAGAGGGCAGTCAGTAGAGAATTCAAAGACAGAACGTCAACAGCAAGGAAGTAAAAGGATGGTCACTTCTAAAACTTTAGCAGGACAAAAAAAAACAAACTAAAAAAAGCAGAAAATGAAATGGAAGAACTTGGAAGCAAGAAAAGCAAATTCGATTTAGTAAAAGTTCTGCAACTTGGTCAAGCATTAAAAACAAAAGGTAAAACAAAAGACTTCATACATGAATACATACATGAACAATGGGTAATCTTTTGATTGAATATATAAACTTGATATACAATAACATTGTATTCAGTCCTCCACAGGCTTTCAAAATCACTCACAGAATACTGACAATTCTTAGTGGTCAACATCAAGTGGAATTCAAACGAGCACATTTACTTCAATGCTTGGAACAACATTCCCTCTTTGAACCTGAAAAATAGGTCAGCTGTAGTACAAACTACAAACTACAGAGATTTTACTTACACATTAACTTTGAAAATTGACACTTCAAAAAGTGTTTCAGGTAGAGTAAATTTTAAAAAATTCAACAGAGAGCCCAGTATGTCTGAACAAGGAGTGTTAAGCAATGCCCACACGAATGCTTATGGGAGTAGTAATCATAAGTGTAATGATGTTATAATATCATTACACGGGAGATCTGAGATAAGTAAGCAGATCTAGTAAGATATTTGTCAAGGTACATTCCAAGCACAAATGAATTAGATTTAATCTAGAGTCTAGTATACGTTTCAGTCCAAACACCACAAAGCCGTATCAAGAATTTAAGAGATTCACATAACACTGTGAATTTGTTTTCTCTGGTCCTCTCTCTGATACAAATGAAAAACAAAAGGGTGGCTGGGTTGGCACCTGGATAGGAGAACATGTTGGGGAGGTCTACAAAACTCTGGAATTCACCGAGGAAGAAAGGACGACCCTCTATGACACACTGATGACAAAATTCGAACTATTCGTTTGACCAACGAGAAAAAAAATAGTTGCGCGTCACAGACTCAAACAGAGGAAGCAAAGACCACAAGAAAGCTTCATGCATTTTGGGAAAGATCTGAACATAATAATTATGGACTGTGAGTACCTGGGCAGTGATGATCTTTTGGTGGACAACATCATTGATGGAGTCAAAGACACAACTTCAGGAGAAACTTCTAGATAGGGGGAAGAACTAACTTTACAAAAAGCTTTGGAAATTGGGCAACATTTTGAGCACTCAAAAACTCAGATAAAGATGAAGTGTGATGAACAAGCAGTGCTGTCACACAAGTAAAAACAAAGTTTGAAAAGAAAAAGCAGACAAAGTTTAGATCTAGGCCTAAACACATCAAATCACATTATAATCAAATTGGTGGGAGCCACAGAGATGATGGTCAAATGGAGACACACCGCCAGACATGTACAGTACCAAATAGTCAAAATTGAGGGAGCAGAAAACATTCTGTCAGAAGATGATGCAAAAGCACTGGGCATTAAAAGCAAAGTTGATACACTGAAAGAGAAAAACAAGACAGCTTTGGAAGATCTTCCTGAACTATTAAAAACTACAGGTGTACTACCAGGTGAATATGAAATCAAACTGGATGAGCATGCAAAAGGAGTTGTTCATCCATGGAAAGTTCCCACCAGCCTTGAACATGAAAATCAAAGAAACTTTCAAAAAGATAGAAAAAGAGGGACACATAGAACCAGTTAATAAACCTACTGAGAAGGGTCAGTTCCATGGTTGTCCAAGTGAAGTAGGACAGGGTCAGAATTTGCCTAGATCCAAGAGACTTCAATCAAGTCATCAAGAGGGAACATCCCCCTATGAGGACTGCGGATGATGTCATCAAAGAAATTGGTGGAGCTACAGTTTTCCCAAAGTTAGATGCCAAAAGTGGGTTTCTACAAATAAAACTGGACAATCAATCCTCATAACTGACAACTTTCAATACTCCTCTTGGAAGATACAAGTGGTTGAGATTCCCATTTGGACTGAAATGCAGTCCAGGGATATTTCAGAGAATTATGAATGAGACCCTACAGGGCATAAATGGAGCCTTCGCAGTTATTGACGACATACTTGTCGCAGGAAGAGACATGAAAGAGCATGACAAAATCCTGAAACAAGTCTTGAAAAGGGCTTCAGAATACAATCTTAAACTGAATCTAGACAAGCTAGAAGTCAGGCAGTCTTCAGCCAAGTATTGTGGGCACATTTTCTGAGCACAAGGACTAAAACCAGATCCTGAAAAATATAGGCAGGGATGGAAATGCCTAGATCAGAAAACAAAGAAAGTCTGAGGAGATTTCTTGGTTTCGTCAATTATTTGGGAAAATTCATACTCAATCTCAGTTAGGTGGACGAACCACTCAGAGCACTGTTAAAGAAGACAATACTATTTGAATAGAACAAAGCCTTTCAGGAATTGAAGCAGTTGTGTACCCAAGCGCCAGTACTAACTTACTTTGGTGTCACAAAACAAACAGAAATACAGTGTGAGGCAAGCAGTACAGTCATTGGAGCTGTACTCCTACAGGAAAACAAACCGGTTGCATACTCATCAAAAGCAGTGACAGAAACAGAAACGAGATATATATGCTCAGATAGAGATGTTGGAAATTGTCCACTCACTGAAAAAATTTCACAGCTATATGTTTGGAGGGAAAATACTGATTTACACAGATTATAAGCCACTAGAGCAAATCTTCAAGAAAGCATTGGCAGCAGCATCTATGAGACTTCAATGTATGCTTCAGGCCACATAATGGTATGATCTGGAAATATGGTACAGAAGAAAAGGAGAGGACATACAGCTACCAGACACATTGTCAAGAGCATACATAAATTACTTCCAGTCAAGGGAAAACAGAAGTTAAGGATCTGAACACAGTGAAAATGGTTGATTACTTGAACATCACTGAAGAAAGGTACAGACAGTTTCAAGACAGAACAAAGGAAAAACTATCAGAGCTATAAGAAACCATAAAAGACGGTTGGCCTGAACAGAAAAAAAGTTGGATGTCAAGGTGACACCTTATTTTGAAAGCAGGTCTGAACTTACAGTGTCTGATGGAATCATTTATAAGGGTTTGAGGCTAGTTGTACCTAAAGTCTTAAGGGGAGACATGCTCAAACTTATCCACATGAATCACTTGGGAATCATGAAGTGCAAGCAGAGAGCAAGAGAAGTGTTCTACTGGCCTTTAATTAACAGTGACATAAAAGAAACAATCAGAAACTGTGAGAGGTGTGATGAGTTTCAAAACAAACATCTGAACCACTGAAACCCACACCGTTGTCAGAATTTCCATACTCAGAGATATCAGTTGACATATTTGAATTTCAGTTGCATCAGTCTCTTATTATAGTGGACTATCATTCAAGATTCATACAAACAGAGAAACTGAACAATCTGAGAAGTGGTACAGTCATAAAGACACTCAAAGACCAGTTAAGTGTACATGGGATAAGTAAAAATCAAGTCAGATTGTGGAACTCAATTCACTTCACAAGATGGCGACCCCCCCATGAATAAGCACAACTCGTCCAGTTTGTCTGACATGTTGTTGAGCCTTGTATGTCCTTACATGTTATTATAACATCATTACAATAAGGATCAACTCCTTGATTTGCAATCACATGTCATCCAGATCTTAAGTGCATGACGTATTATTTGGCTATATGCTAGTGTATAACCTGCATCCAAATATTGAGACATGAATTATAATATGCCTGGCAACATGTTGTGAAATGGCAGTGTCTATAGATAAGTATGAGTTGTGAATTTTAGCCCTTTGAAAAACAATTTTGGATACACAGTTTCATGTCCATATCTAAGTGGTTGGACATCCCAATTCACATTTCATACATTCATCTCTGGAAGGATGGGGTGGACTCCCTGGTGAAATTCTTCTAAAATTTTAGGAGATTCACTTTTGAAGCATGGTCCATCACAAATTATTTAAGTTTTACAACATTTAAGTTAATATCATTTCTGCAAGACAGTTGTAATGCAGTGTATTAAACAACTTGTTCAGTTAAAGTTAGTACCCTCTCCTTTTCCCTGTCTCTGGTACTTGTTATTAACATCATATGACTTGGACTTCATAAACACTCACGTACACAACTGTTACGGCTTTGAAAAATAGCTATTCCATAAACTACATAAGAGTCGCTAGCAGTTTAAGAAGAAACTTCATTGTTAAAAAAAGGAAGGGTGTTTTGGAAAAAGGGGCGAAATCACAAATAGTTCCTGACGCAAGAAGAATGCTTACTTCCATCATGAGACCCTGCTTTACAGAGGGACAATAAATTTCATTGACATACTCATTCTTTGACAAACAGTCATGAAATGCTCCAGGAATGTTAATTATTAGAAGGTAAATATCCATGAAGGGGAATTATTAAATAGTTTTAAAGAGACAAAAAAAGGGCCCTGTTTCTTTTTGGAACACAGTCTTCCAATGGTAAACTATTCCAGGGAATGATTAAAAAGTAAAGTTTTTCCCGCATCTGATCTGGACACTGGGGATTGCCTTGTTAGTGAGACAACTTCCTGGGCCTTCGGCATATTGTAGTAGGTTGGCCAGTTCCTTTCCACGCAGCCTTTACTTCCCCAACTCAAAGTCAGGAGGTACCCATACTGCTGGGTGGGCAGGAGGAGGCGAAAAAAATCTGTGTCCGAACCGAGACTCGAACCCGGAATTTCCACTTTGGAGACGAGCGCACTAACCGCTCCGCCACCGGAATGATTAATGGTAGTAAATTCACATTTTCTAAGGAACAAAAGTGAACATATATATATATATAATATATATATATATATCCACCTAAAATTTGTAATAATATCATAAGAATTATGAAAGTCATAAGATGAGGTGATCTGTAATAAATATAAATCTCTGAGCACCCGTTTCAGTTCGATCAAACAAAAATGCATTGTTCATGGGTCCCACGTAACATTTAAATAAAAGTCTAAATTTTAAACAAAATTTTTAAAAAATCATCTTATGACTAGATTTATTTGCCTGTTAACTTAAAAATACTTTTATAAAACAGAAAACACTATAGCATAATAAAGCTCTCTGTATTTCATTTAAAGAACACAGGAATAATTCTGTAAAATATGCTTTTCAAAGGAAAAACACTTCACATGCACACCTTCATTTTACTGAAACTTATGCCAGTGGAAAATGAATTTAAAGACTGTTTTTTTACAGTCAATCCTGTCTGGATTCCTGATACCATAAGAGCAAGAGCCTTGCTTGGAGAAAGTAATTGTGAATCCTCTAGACTCCAGCTCTCTGGCTATTGCTCTCAGATATACACGGTCAGTGACATCTTCAATATCACTCTCCCAAGGGCCAATGACCACATCAGCCGAGTTCAAATCTTGAGGATAGTTAACAAAACATCTGTGATCATTGTCAAAGGCTGGGTTCATCACTAATTGAGAATCTTTATGGATCGCAATCACAGCAAAAGACACGATTTCATCTGAAACAATGCACTGTTTCTTATTAGCAGTTGCTAATATTTGCTCTATGGCCTCATCAAAACCTGCAAGACGAGACTGGAACTGGAGTCGAGCCTGCTTACCCATCATAACTGGCATTTGCTCAATATGTTGCTGTAACTCTTCCAAACCAAAATATTTTGCTTCTTTGTAAACTTGCGGTGCCATGCTTGAGCAAGGTAAGTCCCCACTGCGAAGATACCTCAAGATGTGTGAGAAAAGAGTTCCATCTGCATCAATGAAATATCGCCCATCTTTATCTTTAGCAACAAGATGACGTCCACTAAACATTGCAGACAACATGTGATCCTGCGACTTCACAAGAGTACTAAGACTTGTGGTGTAGTAAACGCCTCCAACATTCAGTTCTAAAACTGGTGGGAACTGTGAAGAAAACATCAACATCAATGTTAAAAAGTAATGGCACATTTTTAAACAAAGTTTCACAGTTCAGTCAAAATGGTCCTACATGGCCACCCATTGTTGTGGACAAAAGTGGTTGTCTTAGACAGGTGGATGTCTTGGACAGATTCGTTTTAATATCTTTTGAAAACTGCAAAAAGTGAAGTGGGAAATGTCATTGCAGCTGATAGTGCAGGTTTGACTGAATACAGTAGTCTCCACCTAAATGCACAGTGCTCGGGAGGGCTCCTAAACGTTTACACAGGGCGTGCGTTTACCTGAACCTGTGCTAAGAGGAAAGGGATGCAAACATCTTATTTCCTTGACATCAAGTGATTGATATTACCTCCCTTGGGGTGGAGGGGGGTGCTATTGCCAAAAATATGACGAAACGTGAGTGTTTTGTAAAGGATTCCCAATCGCGGTCATTGTGTTGCGTGATCAGCAGCCTCACCAAGTATCCATTTGTCTAGACTCATCTTTGTTGTCATGATGCTAGCTGTCAACGTTGCTGTGAACAATTCCCTTTGTCGAGCTTCACCGTTCACAGTGTTTTGGGGACTGAAGCATGCATTTAGAGAAAGTGACCATGCGTTTGTAGACAGGTCTAAATTATATCGTAAAAAACTCGCCATGCGAACAAAACATTCGAAAGAAGTGTGCCTTTGTTTGGCATGCGCTTAGGCAGAGACTACTGTTTATCGATGATGTCATACTCTAATCATCTAACCAGAGTTTCAATCTACAAATTTTTTGACTATGCAAAAAAAAAAAAAAAAAAATTTCATTTAAATTATGTAAGAAGACAAAAAAATTTAGACCATAATATTTTTATTGCTAGAATATTCTGGTTCCTGACTTCATTGAGGACCTTCAGATCAACTTGGGGAATGCTTTAAGAACAAAAGTCGAAGAGCTGACCTGTTTTTTCTAGTTACACAGAGCAAAGAACCATCAGTATTTCTGTTTGCTTTCTTTACTCTAAAAGCATGAGTATTTTGTAAAGAACTTTGACAGAGATAGGATAAATTAAAGAGCTTAAACTTTACTTAATTTGACAAACAACAGTCAAAATCAAATATAAGTCCATATATAGCCTAATTATAAGGGAATCACTATAGATACTCTGGCAAAGTCAAATTTATAATGAAAACATTTTCCTGCTTCAAAGAAAGAAGCACAGTATTGAGCCAGGATGTATACTGATGGAAAAAGATCTGCATTTGCCACTAGTAGATAGTGGGTACGGTAACAAAGTAAACAAGTAGCCCAGGATTGATGCAAGGTTAAACAAAAAAAAAAGTAACTGTTTTTTTTCGATCAATGTTAGATGAAAGGGGCAAGGCTGCAAGGGAGCTCAGGGCTGTCACAATTGGCCTGAAAAGTAATTTTAAAGCTGTGCCATACAGTACAAAAATTGCAAAATATTAGATACAAATTACCAAGAATTAAACTCTTGAAGGATAAAGCTCAGAACATTGACCTTTGGATTTGTAGGAGACGAAAAAAAGTAAAGAATGGCATCTTTGTTTGGAAATAAATGTCTTTGCATGAGGCTTGGATGATGTACAGTAGTCTCTGCCAAAGATCCCACCGCTTACGATCCCGGTTCGCTTAAGATCTCGTTGTTTTAGGAAAACAGAATTTTTACTATACAAAAGTCACCCCTAAGATCCCGCTCCGATGGTCTACATTCGGCTAAGATCCCTCATTTCAGATCATAATTTGCAAATCAAAAACCCGGTCGGGCACAGCCGATCAACCAAGAGTGAAAAGTTCAGATCAATAAACTGTCCCTCGTGTCAAAGATCAGCCACTATCGTGAATGTGATCACATACACGTTGTGAAACTCGATGAAGCGATACAATGTTTGCCCCAGACGAGATCACAACGGGGTGTGAACTGACCTACGCGTTTGTTTTCCCCATGCATCGCACTCACACCTGAGCTCTCTCCCTAAACTTGCATCACTCGCTGGGTGGATAGGGCCTACACGTTCGCTCCAGGTGGGATCACATCAAACCGTGAACTCTTCCCTGACCATACTACTCCCGAATTTGCGAGACAGACTGAATTTTAATTGGTGTGTTCACAACGTAATAGTGTACAACGACAAAGATGGGGGGACTCGATCAGAGATGGAAAGCTTTAAATTTTCGACAGGTAAAGGGGAGGGGCAACTGGATAAGCATAGATCTTGAGACTTGTGATAGGATAATAAGTGAAAATGGCACGCCTCAAGCCACTATGCACCATGATAGGTCATCAAGGTTTAACCACTCTTTGCTCGCCATATCATAAACCCACCAAGCGGGCACGTCAGTCCATTGTAGAGTGGAAGGAGACCATTTTACCGATTGTGAGCCTTAACATGGGTCACCATAGATTCTTCCCTGGGTTCGTCAGTTAAGATCCCGGTTCGCCTAAGATCCCGAATTTCCTTGCTCCCGAGCACCAGGACATTCTAAATCAAATCCAGTAACATTGTACACATTGACTGACTGAGGTTGACTCTGGTCCAGAAAATAGCCTTCTTATTGAAGGGAAGAGTCAACCTCATTCACACAGTTGAAAAAACTGCGTGCGGGGAGCAGAGTGACTTAATTGACATTACAATTTAAATTACAGCAGCTCTGCTAAATTTAAATTGTAAAAAAGCAAGAAAAAGCACTTACTTACAAATTTCCTACCACAAAGAAATGTTAAATGAGAAACATTTATAACAATGTGCAGAGTCATATAGGCTTAAAAAAAGAGCGTCCTTGCCTCAAAACGATATATCATATAATCATCATTACAAAGTGACTAACGTATGAAGGGCCCTTGAGCTGAGCCTTGAGTCTAGATAGTCTCCTAGAAATAATAGCTGGTCCAAAGACTTAGTACTTATAGTTATATGTATCAATGTCTAACGATGACAAAAACATCTGCAGAGTTATTAAAGGTTAAGATGACTGTGGCTTCTGCTGTGGCCGATGAGACCACAATTAATTCTCATTCTGGCAGAGAAAAGTTTGCCCTATTTTGAACGGAAGGACTTCCGTAATGAGCGACCACCCTATCAAACACAAAATAAAGAAGAGGCCTAACCCTAACCCTACCCCTCAATCCTGCTCTGTCTCATAGTGGTCGCTCGTTACGGTACGAGAATGACTTCTCCAACCTCTAGACTCCAGATCTAGATCTAGATTCTAGATCATAGATTTAGATCCTAGAACTCGAGAGAAATAATGACTGATCTCAATAAAAATATTATTATAAAGTATCACCGTTAGAACATTGTAGGCCTAACAGTTATTTTGGAAGGACTTCCTTAACGAGCGACCACCCCATCAAACACAATAAAGAAGAGGCCTAGATCTAACCCTAACCCTACCCCTACCCTTACCTCTACCCCTACCCCAAGCCCTCAATTCTGCTCTGTCTCATAGTGGTCGCTCGTTACGGAAGTCCTCCTCCCGTTATTTCATTCGAGACTCTCAGAGATGTTTAAATGTGTCAAAGACATGGCAAACTGCTATAATGTTGATTTCTCACGTTATGCACCTTTGCATCCCCATCCATCTTTGCTGGATCTTAGATTTAAATTGAAAAATCTCACTGAAGACTGAAGAGCAAGAGGTTGATTCGTCCGGAGGAACACAAAGTTTGTTTACAAACATTTAGAGCAAGGGGCACGCTACTCTTCTTGCATAACTCGGTATAGATCTAACATCCGGTTGTCCGGCTGTCCGGTTGTGTCGACAGAAAGGAGACCGCGTCCCTGTCCGCACGGGGAAACAAGAAGTAGCGGGAATCTCTCTCTCTCTCTCTCTCTCTCTCTCT